TGGGAGGAATAGGTATTTGATGCATGGGGGTTTGCTCTTTTAAAAGATTGTTATGTTTTTTAAGTGACTTAAGATGACTTAGATTTGTGGAATTCCAGGTAAAGCAATATTTAACAAATTTCATTTAATTAATATTCAAATGAAATTTGAATAAAAGCAATGCATTTGTGAAAATGCAGGTGTTAAAAGTTTTCTCATTCTGTTGCATAGGTCTTGTAATCAGGATTTTGGATTACTATGCACTTTGGAAATTTTATAATATATTTTATTTATGTTTTATTCACTTTTTTACTGATTTGAATGTTATAATATGTCAAATACATCATTTATATATGTCAATATGTCATTTAATTAAATATTAAATATAGTAACTTTTAAATTCATTTTATATCTCAAATACTTCAGTAAGAATAATATATAAAGTTAATCATGTTCAATATATTAGAAAGGGCATTATAAGCAACATTTTTAGTAAGGATTTCATAATAATATTATAGAAACTATAACTATCCTATACTTTTAAGTGTATCAGTACTTTCTAACAAACTGTTTTACATTTACTTCTTTGATACAAATTATGAGGAAATAATATAAATTTCAGCATGAATTCATTCCTGTTGCATGGTTATATGTGGATAGCTTTAAAATATATGTTTTTATTTGATCATTAGTAACTATTCATGATTAAATAGTAAACATTTTTGTATACTCTTTACCACTGTTCTTAATTATGATTAATTATGTATGAAAATATATTTCAATATATTTATGAAGATTTCAATTAATTACATAAAACAAATGACTGAGAATAAAGCAAACAATCATGCAGAGATGAAAACAATAAGATGAATAATTATGACATAAAGACTTTGCCAAGCCTTCAAGTCTAGGAATATTCAGTGATACACAATAAAATTGTAGTGTGCAGACTTTATTATTTGCCAGTTTGCCAATGAAACAGTGCTACTCAGTAAAGGCAAAGAGATCTAATAAGTTAGTTTTCTCATGTGTTAGCTTTAAACAGGATCTTTCTGAATTGACATAATGTGACCTGTGCATTCATACCTAATCATTTAGTTTACAATGCAAATAATCAATTTTTTTGCTAGACTCATTTTATTCAACTAAGAAATACACCAATGGCTTATTATTAATTGAGGTTTAAAATGTGAAACTTTAACCATTGCTGCCACTGGTCTTTATGGATAAGTGTAAAAATGTAAAACAAGTGTAAAAATGTCTTACCAATTTTGGCAATTGCTTTGTCTGGCAAATTATTGTAGGTATGAAGAAACAATCTATATCCAAAGGATCCATAATTAAGGAGGTTCAGTATGGTGGACCCAGCTGCAGACTCCCCTTTTTATTTGTGATGCTGATTCATAATTATGCCTGTCATTTTGTCCTTTACAGGCATGCCTGCCCCACATGTTGGTTATGGAATATAAATATAGATAGGTTAGCTGATGAAGTTACCTAAGATTTAGGCTAGTAAAATAGGCCAGATTTTTGTGATACAAAACAAAAGCTTAAGAAATTCCATGAGTCCAGCATCCCAAAAAGATTTCTCTGAAAAGCTCAGAAACAGATAATAATGGTATAAGCGTACTTTTTCAGCAACTTTTTTTTCTGAAATCACTTTTTTTCTGTCTCTGAACTGAGAGATTTAATAAAACCTTAAACAAGTAATCACTAAAAAAATACTGTCTGTGAATTTCCTTGAAAGCTATACAGGCTTAGTTGTGGATGCCGTAAATTTAATGCATGTGGCTAAAATAGTGCTTTCCTTGGCCAGCTCTGATTTCATTAGTTTTGTCTGATAACTTGGCATTCTAAATTAAAAAAGAAAAAAAAACTATTTCCTTTTCTGCCTTCATTAATTATATACGACCCCTAATTTTAATTAACCTTTTTTTTAAAAAAAATAATTATTCTGTCATTTATTTTAATTTTTTTTACTATTATTATTGTTTTAATGCTTTATTTGCTGGTCTTGACTATAATAAAGTTTGATTGATTGGTTATCAACTTTGATCACATTTCCTTTTAGTCACATCTTTTATTAAAGCCAACAAGACCCAAATCCTATACTAATCTCATCTATTGCTATTAATACAGGGAGGGGGAGATTTCTTTTGGATTCTTTATCTTGCTTTCATTATGTGTCCAAATACCGTCTATACTGTATTCTAAAGTTCAGGGCTTTTTTTCTCATAGAACGCCCAGAACGAGTTCCGGCACTTTTTTGGGATGAAACCTTATAGGGTAGGCAAGGCAGGTTGTATGACATGTGTGAGTTCTGGCACCTTTTTTTTTTTTTTTTTTTAGAAAAAAAGCACTGCTAAAGTTTATACATTTAATGCATTATTTTATTATTTATTGGAGTTTATATGATTCATGCACAGTAGATCTGTATCTATACAGAAACCCAGTCAGAATCCTTTAGAATTTAAATGATTGGTAAGCATTCCACCCTTCTTGCTTGACACACAAATAGGCATGGCTCCCATGAACATTGTTGATTTGTTGTTGATCTCTTAAAGTTAGCATTTACATTTTCTCTTCTATTGAAATTATTTAGTTTTTCTTCCTTACTTTCTTTCATTCAACTCTTATTCAAAATCACTTAGAGTTGCTTTTCAAGATACTTTTCTTCCTTTCCCAGGCATCAAGATTTTTGACTTACAGTCTTATTTCATATATGAGAGTATTTCAGAGGCAAAAATCCTTATCTAACTTGAAAGGCAATGAATTATGTAATTTTGTGTAGGTAAACATAATGCACACTTATAAACATTGGTAAGCATTTGCTAAACAGTAAATTGCAACATTTTTCTTATTTGCAATATTTTCAAGTGTTTATTTGCATCCAAAAGGCCTTCAAAATATTAGCATATTTTCTTGAACTTGAGGTTTAGCTCACATTGGAGAAATGCTGGCTACTCACTTGTTACTGCAGTGCTTTGAATAGTCATATGAAAATTCATATAATCTCCTTCCTATTCCACTTGATCTCAGGTGACCTCCTGGTCTTTTGGAACTCTGTGCTATCAGACTGAAAGACTATGGCAAGAACCTAGTAACATGGTACACATAGGGAATGGGATTATAGAAGATTCCTAATGGGCTTTATATAGGTACATAAGTCATGGGTGTGAATTCAGATAACCACTTTAAACTACGGTTACAGGTAAGTACACAGTTCTTTTTTAAATGTGTGCTTTTAAATAAATAAATGGACCTGTGGGTTTTCCATAAAATATTTTCTCAATAGCCACTACACTAATACCAATAATGATTAGATTATCACAAAAAATCTTTTAAAACTATTATTTTTTCATTGTTTCTCTAAAGAATGCTGTTTAACATGGATCCAAGTCTTTTACAGCTTAAAAGAAGTTGCAGTCAGTAAACATTTTGTGGCAGAACATGATAATCTGCAGAATGCTGATGTTGTATCCTTCAGTGTCATAAAGATTCTGCTTATGAGACTGTCTTTTTGGAAGCTGAAGCTGTTTCTATTTAAATCATCAGCCGAAGTGTGAATTTATCTGTGACATTTTTAAGATGGTTGATGAAACCAAAAGTTGACCAGTGATTCTCTTGTGGAACACTAGCTAATTTTGGATTTACAGCAGATAGCATAGCCAAGATTAGAAACAAATAGCTATAAAATTGAGGACAAAGAAATCTGATAGCTGAATCATAGTTTGATTTAAAAGCATGTTGCATGGGATGACTTCCTATATTGATATAACTTCCATAAATTAACAATATGCTATAAAGGTTAATGGATATGTGCTTATCTTTTTCATAGAAGTGTTATTTATCAAGTAAAAAAAATGCAAAAAAATCAAACAGAAATAGGGATCAAATAATCAAAGGCACCCTTAAATTGATATGGAAAATGGATCTTATATAAGATACAATTCTGTATAATTGATTGAGGATGAATATTTGTTTATAGTATAAGACTGTAATTATTATTGCACTATGAGATTAGAACATGCACAGCATAATAGGTAATAGTAAAAAAATAAAAAGTGCATTCTTGGAGGACTGCATGAAAAAAACTAATAAAATAATACTTTAATTATTAAAAACATTTAAAAGGTTTTTTCTTAAATGAACTTTCCAGAAAAGTATTATAAAAATATGACTATATTGCCTTTTGAATGACATAAACAATTAGAATGAGAAGATAGCAGTTTGGTATAATTTATAATGGTATCATTGAGTCTATGTATTACTGTTTGTGTCTTTGCCCGAGTTGGTTATGAAAGTCTTATTATTGCATAGAAAACGTTTTGTAATGAACAAATGAGTTACATCTAGATTTAATTATGCTTAATAAGGGGACAGTGAAATCAATGGAGCATATTAATCTTACTGATTTTAATTAGCATATACCAATCACTAATCCAATCTAGGATAGCTACACTCTAACCTTGAAAATCTCAGTGAATTGCTGAGAAAAATTCCAGTTCACCCTCTGTTGCCATGGTTATTGATGACCAGTATTTTTCTTTTTTAAAAAACTGGGATTAATGGTATTATTCTGCCATTAAGATTAATAGCACAATGTGGCCAGATGATCTTATAATTTACATATGAACTGCTGTTCTCCTTGCTTCTCTCTACATTAATATTTGACATGGAATTTGTTGTAGATTCTTTTCAATTTATTTATTTAAGCAACTCAGGGTAGCTCACATTTATAATCAAACAAATACATAAAACAATAATAATACCAAAACAATGAAACAAAAACTAATATGATTTTTAGTGTTGACATCAGTAATGCAACACTGAGTTGGTCTTGAATGATAATCCAGTCAATTTTAATGACTTTAAATCAGAAACATGTTTATTACATCTATTTTTACTATAAAATATTTACTAATGTTTTAATCTATAACAATATTTTCATATGTAATATTTCCTTGCAAATAAATTGTAGAATTGTCCTGACTCTGGACCTGATTTTGTCTTTATTTCAGATTCTCAAGAGGGAAATTATAAATCTGAGGTCAATAGCAAACCAAGAAAAGAAAGAACAGCTTTCACCAAAGAGCAAATCAGAGAGTTAGAAGCAGAGTTTGCCCATCATAACTACCTCACCAGACTGCGGAGATACGAAATAGCTGTGAACCTGGATCTCACTGAAAGACAGGTATGGATAGACAACAAGCTAATTGTGTTCCAAGTGGAGTTGTAAGTTACCTCATACTAGATCAAACCAAGTTACAAATAAACATAAGAATATACAGAATAAAATACGATTATAATGCAACATTTGTATAATGTGTATCCCTATTGGATAACAATAATTATCTTTAAAAAAGATATTTCCAAAATTCGCACACTATAACAGCATGGAGAATTAATTATCTTAGTCTTTCTCTCCCAGAGATACTGTCCATTTATTCACTCTGCCTGCTTTCTCTCAATGACAGCATGTTTCCTTTTATTTCCTTTATCAAATCTCTCTATTGTAATCCCCATTCATCTATACTCATACTTCATTTAATTCTGGCATTTAAAATAAATACGAAAAGAATTGATGTTGAAGTTGCTAATAAAAACTGAGCCTGAGTAAGTATATAAACTTACTAAGTTTATAAATCTTTGTACATACCTGAAACTTACTTTCACATGCTGCAGGAATAAGGTCTTCTGAGACAGACATAGTCGGATGAAGGATTATGTTACTGTTCTGTAGCTTTGTTTTAATTTGCCTTATTGCTGTGATGCTACTATAGTTTAAATAAACAGATATGGTATAAATAGAAATAGTATAAATAAACACAAACACAGTTAATCTCATACCAGGTATACATTACCTGATATTTTTCTTTTTTGTACTCCTCCAAGCTAACAGAGAGTTCACTTTTCATGCAATAAGTCTTTAATCAAAACAAAGCTACGGAACAGTAGCATAATCTTTCCTCTGACTATGTCTGTCTTATTCCTGAACGCGTGAAAGTTTCAAAAATCAGCTCCTGGAATCTGGGAAAGACCCACATATAAGATCCTATGGAATTGATATTCCTCAATAGAGACAGTACTGAAGTCAAAAGCCCAATGTTTGACTTTAAGTTTTGTTTCCAATAAATTAAAATTGCATTTAGGGTTTCTGTGCTTAAGGTTCCTTGAATTAAACTAGACCGGGGTGTCAAGCTCGCAACATCAAATGATGTGTCTCGATGTATCACAACTTTTTTTCCATTGCTGGCAAGGGGTGGGCGTGTTTTTGCCATGACACATCTGGCCCACGGGCTGGCAGTTTGACACCCCTGAGCTAGACTCTTAGTGATTATGGAAGTATTTATATCCCTTTTTTGATTACAGTACTGAAGTGATTTTCCATTGCCTTCTGAAAACTTTATTTTTATATTCCATCCCACTCTAATCCATAGCACCCACATTTTATAATTTTAGCCTATCCAAGTACTAACCAAGTCAGACCTTACTTTGTTTCTTCAAAATTAGCTAAGGTCAGCCACCTGCTGGTGGCTTATTCAAATCACAAATCAGCCATAAAATAGCTATAAAACCATTGACCTGGGATTCATACTATCAAATATAAATCAGCTATATAAATCTATCATTTCAGAGGATTTTGGAGGAATTCAAAAGTTGATTTTAAAGGAAACCCATTTATTTATGTTAATGATAAAAATGAAACAGAATCATATTAACTCCAAGGCATCTTAGAACCAAAAAAAAAATTTATGCAGCATAAAGAACATATTTATTATTACATATAATTTAATTGATTACAGCCCATTACATGAGATAGTGAACAAATTGACTTTAATCCAAAATATTATTATATCAACAAGAGAACAATGATAGAAAGAAACCTGAAATATATAATTAATAAAAGGTAGTCCTTGCTTAACAACCTTAATTGGGAATGGAATCTCCATTATTATAGAAACGTAGCTGGAACATCATATGATTATACTGTTTAGTAATAGCAGTTTTGGTAGTTATGGTCATTACGCCAGGATCTCACATTCTTCTGCCCTGCTTACGCTTGCCTCTACTTTAATTCCCCTCACCTGCTTATCTCTCCGCCCAAACCTATATCCTATTGGACATTCTGCATGCTGCTGACCTGACTGTCCTGCTCTTCTGCATTCTTCCCCCTCCCTGCCCTGCTCTCCACCCACTCTTATGAACTTTTCTGTCCCTGCTATTTTCTGCCACCCTACTTTTGCCATTTGCTTCCTCTTTCTGCTGACAAGTCTTGATTGGCCTTTGTGAGGCAAGGCCTTCCCGATGCCTAATTGCACATGCCCTCAGGAAGACCCCAGGGTGCCAGCAGCTGCCTCATCAAGGGCAGGACAGGCTTGCCTCATCAGCTATGGGTGGAAGAAAATGGAAACGATCAGGTGGGGCAGTTAGAGATGGGGCAGGTATTGGAGTGGAGTGGCTGGGGTAACAATGTGCAAGGCAGTCAAAGGACCACAAATAGGAGGGAGATAGGCATGTGGAGGGAATTGAACTCTGAATCATTCATGTGGATGGGCTCCAAAGAACATGAATTTGGTCACATGATTATGCAGGTGCTGTAACAATCACAACTTCAAGGACAGGCTATAATTACCATGTGCTCAGTGCTTTGCCCTCAGGCTTTTAATAGAAAAGTTATGGAACACACACACACACACACACACACACACACACACACACACACACACGGAGGGAGGGAAAGAGAGAGAGGAAGAGAGAAGAGGTAGAAATGAAGCAACAAATAAAGAGGCAGTGAAATGATTGCATTGTCCCCAAAGCCATAATTCATTTTTTCGTGTGATTCAGCACTCTATAGAGAAATAACTGATTATGTTGCTGCTGCAGCACCATCTGCATAATTTGAGATATATCAAACCTGTAGGAGCTCTCCAGGAAGGGAGTGGGTGAGAAAGAAAGAAGTCTCCAAGCTGGTATTGTGCAGAGATATTTCTCCTCCTCCCCACTCCCTCCCTCCCTCTCTCTCTCTCTCTCTCTCTCTCTCTCTCTCTCTCTCTCTCTCTCTCTCTCTCTCTCTTTCTCTCTCTCTCTCTCTCTCTCATTTTGCTGAATAATTATAGAATTATCCTGGAGGTGGTGGTGGGGGAATGTTTAAAATGTGAAGTACTTTTTTTAAATTTGTCAGATTTTTTCTTTGATGTATACCTATAGAATTCTCAGATGGGAAAGTAAGATGCAAAGTAGTTTTTTCCTTTGTCTTTTGGGGGAATGGAAACTATTGTGTCAAATTAGCTGCAATTATTGTTCAATACTGGTAATCCTTGACTTATGACCATAATTGAGTCCAAACTGTCTGTTGTTAAGCGACCCATTTAAGTGAGTTTTGTCCCATTTTATGACCTTTCTTGCCACAGTTGTTAAGTGAATCACTGCAGTTGATAAGTTAGTTGAGTGAACTAACTTGTTGTTGAGTGAACCTGGCTTCCTCATTGACTTTGCTTATCAGAAGGTCGCAAAAGGGGGTCACATGACCCTGGGACAGTTGCCAAGCATGTGAATTTTGTTTATGTGACCATGGGGATGCTGCAAAGGTCAAAATTGTGAAAAACGGTTATAAGTCACATTTTTCAGTACCATTGTAACTTTGAATGGTCACTAAACTGTTGTAAATTGAGGACTACCTGTAGTAGAATTTGTAGACTTTTGAATATGCCCTCTCTAAAGACAAAGCAAAAAGATTCCCATCTGTTTGGGCATCTTCCATATATATGCATAGGAATCATCGTCCAGAATTATCAGTTCTGGTGGTACTACTCTAAAAATGTTGGGACTAAACATATGAAGAGTACAGAAATACAAAGCTTGTGAGAAAGGAATTTCTGACATTTTTCTTTTTGTTGGACAATTTCTTTCAGTTAAGTATGATAAATACACCAAGAAACTTTTGCTTTAGTTTAAAAAGCTTCATGCTCAAGGCATGCTACGACTGCATTCATAGAATTATTTGTTTGAATGAACATTAGATAATGACAATAATAGGATAAAATCAATGCTTTTTTTCTAAAAAAAAAAAAAAGTTGCCGGAACTCACACATGTCATACAACCCGCCTTGCCTACCCTACAAGGTTCCATCCAAAAAAGGTGCCGGAAGTCCGTTCAGGGCGTTCTATGAGAAAAAAAGCCTGGATAAAATTATATGTACATTCCTGCTGACACTGATCTATCTTCAGGCATCTCTCTCTTGCAATCCATTTAACTTTAGTACAGGAAGCTGGTATACTTTGCAAAAGAAAGCACTGATCTCCAATTGTCTTTATTTCAAAGAATACACATGGGATCCATTTTGTCAGGGTTAATTATTATCTATTTTTTTCCAGATCAGAAATGCAAATAATGTAAATAAGCAACTGGCGTTCAAAACTGTGGAGGGGAGGGCCAGGATATCATGTCACAGAGGGAACCATGGAAAGAGAAGATTTGAATGGATTTGAATCCAGATATGAGATGCTCAGAATCAGCCTAAATGGCTAATTACTATTTGTAATAACTACCATTCTTGAATTACAATAAAGATTGAGTCCTAGCCATACAGACTCTGTGGCAAGTTGTAGTAGTCTTGGGGGAGTTTAACATAGCCATAATTGTTCTTAGAAAAATAAAATAAAGCAAAACAAATTGATGCCTGTAGTCCAATGTATTCTTTGGAAATGTGCCAGCCACCTAAAAAAAGTTAAAAAGAGATGGTGGCCAATTCCCTAAAGGGATAAAGTAAGGAATAACATCTTTAACGTAGCTTCTGATAAATGGGAGTTTAGAAAATTGCAAATTTCTGAATGGGCTAACCAATTTTTAACCATGCCTATGAAATGCCTTCTTATGTCAATCAGTAGAAATATGTTGATTGTCCTGATTGAAGAAAAGAGTTGGATCTCAGTGAGACTTTCTGTTTCTTAGACTTCTTATGAAATATTTTCAAGTAAATGAGATCCATTAATAACCCTTACATGATGTTTATAATAGACTGCATAGAAGCAAAACATTATCTAATATCTGGGCATGGTAAATCACAAAATAATTTTAAAAGTGATTATAATAAAGGGACTCATGTTTCTTTCCTTTAATATAATCACTTTTAAAATTATTTTATTTTCATCTCTGGATGAAATTTTAAGACAATAAAGACATTGGAAAAA